GCATATTAGGCAAACTCATATTCATTTTCTTATCTGTAAAATGGGGACCTTAACTGCAAAGGTATCTTGGTGGGGATGAGGATTAGGGTAGTGTTAATTGGGCATTCCCCTGCTTGCCATTTCACCAACTAAGAACTCTGTGTCAGGTCCTTGTTTCCAGTCCAAGAGAAGGATGGGGAAGAAGGTATCACAAAGACACAGATACACACAAATACGTGTGTAAGTGTAAGCCACCTCACACTCCAGCTCAAAGCTTTCGGTTTTATATTACTCCCTTAAGTGATTGGTCTTGATCCAGAGGTCGATGAGTTCCTTATGAATCTGGTGGAACGGGGTGAAGAAGGTGGGTCATAAGGCTACTCGACTCCTGAGTTTTCTTTTCTTTTCTTTTTTTTTTTTAAGGCAGTTGGGGTTAAGTGACTTGCCCAAGGTCACATAGCTAGTAAATGTTAAGTGTTTGGTCCAAGGCCAGATTTGAACTCATGTCCTCCTGACTTCAGGGCCGGTACTCTATCCACTGCACCACCTAGCTGCCCTTCTATATATATATATTTTTTTGGTGAGACAATCAGGGTTAAGTGACTTGCCCAGGGTCACACAGCTAGTTTGTGTCAATGTCTGAGGCCAAATTTGAACTCAAGTCTTCCTGACTCAAAGGCCTGAGCTCTAACCACTGCACCACATAGCTGCCCTGAGTCCTGAGTTTCTTGGGGAAAACATTATTTGTATGGCTTCCCATACTTAATGGGAAATGGGAAGCCCACTGCCTCCTGTGTGCCCAGTCCTGTACTGTACACTGTTACAGGGACAAACAAGGAACCTAGGCTCTGTCCTTGGGGAGCTCATATTCTGGAGACCTAGGCTTCCGACTTTGGGAAGCTCACAGCTTAGAGGAGACAAAACTCACACATGAACATATATGCTGTGAGTATATGGCACATGCCAAATGAGGGTTATATACAACAAGTGAATTAGGAATTCAGAGGAAGATAAGATCATTCTGAACTTTTGGGATGCAAGAATGGGTCAGGGCTGAGTAGAGAAGAGGGTAGGCATTTCAGTCAAAGTAAATGATGTGAGCAAAGGCAGTGAGTGGGGATATGCATGTTCAAGGACACTGAAGAGACAGGCTATAGCAAAAGGTGTGTGTGAGGGAGGAGGGGGAGATATAGTCTTTTTCATCTGGTAAAATTAAGAGGGGTTGGAACAGGCTTTCTGTAAAAGACAACATTTTAGTTTAGTCTGCTTAATGAACACAAAAGGAGAGAGAGCTTCTTCACACTCTTTCAAAAGTAGAAATTCACAGGTAGATTTAAAAAACAAATAGCCACGTACACAGTCAGGCCATAAAACCTGTCAGGTTATGAACTCCAACTCGAATGCTTTCTAAATGTCATTAGTGTCCAAGATACTGTACTAGGCACTGAGACGCTAACACAGAAATGAAATCATTTGTCTCAAGGAGTTTAGGTTCTATTGGGAGGTGAGATAAACCTGTCGGTGTATAAGTAAACACAAAGTAATTCATTCAAGGAGGGAAAACCCATTAGACTTCACCACTCCCCCAATACCATTTACTGGGGTAAGTGTGTGGGAAGGAGGGGAAGAGGAATCTGAAAAAGCTTCTAAAAGTAGGTGGTGAATGATTAAGACTTCCTGACTACCTTCTCCCACATGTCTCAGTCATTCTACAGCTAAAAGAGAGAATGATTCTTGCCAAAAGGGTAGTAAAGGATTCTCTGCTACTGATTGTTGGCAAGACCTTGTTAATTTAATTTAGTTTAGAATGCAATAAATTGAAAACTTGATTACAACATTCTACTAAAATGATTCATTTGGAATGAACTGTCATTTTAGTTTTCTGTTTGAGGTAGAGTTGGGATTTTTTTTTTAACTAAGCAGGAAAATGCATGTTTTTACTGATGTCATTTTATACCTCAGCACTTGGGTCAGTCAACAAAGTAGTTTTAGCAGTCAGAGGACTATTCTTGTTCAGGTTCAGGTTGGACTAGATGCCCTCTAATGTCCCTTTCAGCCCTCAGATTCTGAAACAATATACCATAGGGGCACATTTACATGCCAGACTAGCTTTCCCACCTTCTACCGAGCTCTTAGGCATGAAACCTTGCTTTATCAAGCAGGGGGAATTGTGGCTATTGTCTCATCCACATTAACACTGCCCTTCTGTTGAATAAGGTTGACACACCAGTTAAACTCATGTGAAAAGCTTATCTGACCAAAGGAGGGGGCCTATTTTCAAATTCCTGGTGAAATAAGTAGCAGGTCTTTATCTCCCTTGAACACAATAATTCGCTTGTTTCAGTACTTGGCTATACAGCTTACAAAATAGTTTTGAGGTTTTTTTCTTCTTTTACCTCCCAAAATTATGTGTATGTACACACACACACACACACACACTTCCTGTAGTCTTCCTGTGATTCAAGGACGGGAGATGAGTCAGTTAATTATCAGGGCTACACACAGAGATAGGGTGAAGAGTGCCTAAGATAATAGTTCATAATTATATTCATCATAAATTATGACATATGCTAATTTCTCACCCTGCCTGAGGCTGTCACAACCCCTTTTTTCTATGTTCCTACCTGTTTCCCTCTAAAAAGTGAGTACCTAAATTGACATACAACCCAAGCACTATCTTACATGTTTCCCCAGGTTAATAGGGATTGAAATTCTGCTGGCTAGGGATTTTGTCATTCTTCATGTTCCTCCAGTGCTAGTACAATACACTGTGGTTATCCAACTACACTCTCTCATTGTTGTAGTGAAAAGGGCTTTGGAATGGGTGTCAGAAGACCTAGATTCAATCATGAGCTCTGTTGTTTCCTAGTTCTGTGACCTTGGGGCAAGTCATTTAACCTTAGTGCTTTAGTTTCAACTGTAAAATGGGGATAATGAGCTCTACCCAGTCTACCCCACAAGGTTGTACTGAGGATCAAACAAAATCACAAAAGAATCACAGAATCTCAGAGCTGGAAAGGTTATCTCCAATGCCTGAACAAATCATTTCTTCAACATCTTTATGTAAACTTGGCTTGAAGAGCTCTGGAAAAGAAGAGCCCACTACCTGATGAGGCAGCCCATTCCATTTTTTAAAAAAACAGTTCCATTAGGAAGGTTTTCCTTATTTTGCGTCAAAATTTATCTCCATAGGACTTAGACCAGTTCTGACTTTTGGGACTAAGCATAAGTCGAATCCTTCAGTTTAATTCAGTAATCATTTATTAAATGCCTACTATGTTCCTGGCACTGTGCTAAGCGCTGGGGTTACAAAAAGAGGCAAAAGACAGGATTGCCTATCCTGTTCTCTGTTAGAAGACAATTGCGTGGAAAGAACCTTGGGGTGGGGTTGGAGTCTGGCAAACAGCTCCATTTACTGGTTCTTTCACCATAGACAAATAACTTTGCCTCTCTCTCAACCTTTTTCCTCATCTGTACAATGGGGAGAATCCTCATACTACCCACCTTATTACAAGGTAATTGTGGGGAAAACCGTTTTAAAACAAACCTAAGTTAATAAATTCTGTCCCTTCCTCCGGAAAAACAAAACAACCAAAGCAAAACATTATCCCTACTGCCAGGTCTTCATTTAATAGACATTGAATAAAGCACCTACTATGTGCAAGGCACATCCCCAATTCTTCGTTTCTGACAGTTTCTAGTCCCTTCGGTTGCCCTCTTCAGTGTGGAAGCACTTTATAAACTTGTCAAGGGCGAGTTTGCTCTGGGACAAAGATGCTTTGCTATCTCGCCGCCAGCAGTCAGATAAATCACGGCAGGCCTGTCTTCTCCCGGCCCAGTCCAAATTCCCGGTAGCAAGACCTTGGCCATGACCTGCTCCCGGGAGATAGAGCCAATAAGCTTCTGTTCCCCAGTCCGGTCCTGGGCGGAGGGGAGAGGGAGGGATGGAGAGAGAGGAATGCGGGGCGGCTCCCCTGAGACAAGGGCAGAATGGGGTGTGTCTGTGGTGGGGCCGCGGAGAGGAGAACCGCAGACCCAGCCCCCCTCCCCTCCAGGCGGACGCGGACCGGCTGGGCCCTGCCAGGACTTCAGAGATCCTCCTAATCGGGAGGACGCCCCTCATTTTAGGCGAGAAGCCCGGAGGGATAGCTACTACGAGAAGCAAGTGGACAGCAGACGCTCCGGCTGGTCGGGGCGGTCCCGGGCACTAAAGCCACGCCGTGCCGCACACCCTCAGTCACTTTATGGGGAAGGCTGCCTCTCCTTGAGGACTAAGACGGCACCAATCCTCCTGCGGGCTGTGGGGGAGGAGGCTGGGAGCCGGCGCGGTCCAAGATCTCCCCATCCTTCAGCACCACCTCCGCGCACCCCAGCACAAGGCAATAAGGTGACGTCACCGCCCAGGCAGCAGCGGCGGCGGCGGCGGCAGCCCCGCAGTTCTCACTTTACCTTCGCCCTCCCCCACAGGGAGGAGAACCCCAGGGCGGATCAGTACGTCCCCGCGGCTCAGCACCTGGAGGAGCCCCACTCCCACACTCCAACCTCCTTCTTCAAGGAGGAGGACAAAAGACCCCGGGGCGTAAGGAAGGAGCCAGTTCAAAACTCCCACGTTTCCATGCATCCCACCACTGGTCCCGGCGCCCGCCGCAGCAGGGCCTAGTCGAGCTGCCGCGCCGCTCTTTTATAGTCATCCCTGGAGGGGGCGGGGCCAATTCCGACGCCCATGAACGTATTGACGCCACGCGGTCGGGAGAAGGGGCGGGGCTAAGGGCTCGAGCTCAGCTGCCTCCCGACTCTAGGGCTACCCTCCGCCCCCTCAGCTTTGGGGATCGAGCCCAAGAATAGAGCGGCCAGGGCGGTGGGTTCTCTCCTTAGGCTTGCCCGCCCACCAGCGCTCTCTAGCCCGACCCCGTCCCAGCTCCTTTCCTCCCTCCCTCCGTCGTCGTGGGCCTCTTCCCAGCCGCCATGGGGGCCCCCCCGCCGCTCCCGGCGTGTGTGGAGAGATGAGGGGCGTCGGTGGTCAAGATGGATGCGGGGGCCCGACGGCCTCAGCAGCGGCGTCGCCTCCTCCCGGCGTTGGAAGACCCTGTGGTCCCCGCAGGGCAGCGGCGCCCGCACGGATGCAGTGATGCTCTCAACAGCCACGGCCGTAGCCGCCCGTCCTCCTCCTCCTCCTCCTCCTGCCGTGTCTGAGGAGGTCTTTTGTCTGCGTCCCGAGCCGCAGGGAATCACCCGCCGCGCAGACCCGCCGTCGCGGGCCGCAGCCTCGCCTCAGCTGTGAAGGGGTGGGGGCTGCTTCTCCGTCGTTGGCCGCCCTGGCCAATATCCTTCCCATGAAAATGGAGCCGGATTTATTCGTGACTCTGTCCGCATCAGCCGGGACCACGTCGGACTCCCTGCTGACGTTTGGGGACCTGTTCCCGGAGCAGAAGGGGAAATACTTCCTCATGGACCTGGAGAAAGTGTCGGAGGAATCCAGGGGGCAGGTGCCTGGTCCCGATCTGGTGCTGCTTCCTCCAGAGACTCCTCCGCAGCCCTCGGTGCTTTTAGGGCCTGTTCTGCAGGAAACGGGATCTGTGGCTTTCCAGCAAGTTTTGGGGGAGGTGAAGCTCCACCAGGACTTATTTTCTGAAGGACCCATCAAATATTTGTATCGGTTAGAAAATCAGGACCTCTGTCTTTTGGACCAAGAGACCGGTACTTCTGTCGCTGACATGGATCAGGATTTATCTGTTAGTGACAAGCAGATGTCTTTGCTAGGTGTGGTTAATGATTCTTCTGAAGAGGATTTTAATACAGCTATTACCTTGGTGCAGGATCCGGTAGTCTCAGACCGGTTAACAGGTTCTGAAGAGCAGGAGCAGGAGGACCTTTATGCTCTTGATTTGGGCCCACCTCGGTCACCCTCACAGGATTTACAATTGAGCATAGAACTTAGGGAGCAGAAATCATGTACAGAAAACTGCCTTCAAAAAGGTGATGACATTCTTCAGGATCAAAGAGATTTTTACTTAGGCATGGACCAGGCTGCTTGCCCGGACACCAAAACCCAGCTCTCAGAACTTGATCCAGTTTTTTCCTGTACTAAAGAGCCAGAGGATTATGTGCCCGGAAGATGCCAGAAAAGTGTTTCATTAAGTGCGGAGGATTTAAATCATAGTTACCAAATTAGCAATGAAATAAACTTCTTTCCCTCTTTCACTACTTCCACTTTGTGTGATCTGAAGTTAGATATAGTTCAGAATAACCTGGGCCAATCCTCGGATTTCAACCAGACTGAACCAATTCCAAATGAACCTTCAGGGTGTCAGGAAGATGGCCCTCGCCTCAGAGCTGTATTTGATGCCCTAGACAGAGATGGGGATGGTTTTGTCCGTATAGAAGAGTTTGTGCAATTTGCTACAGTTTATGGTGCAGAACAGGTAATATAATCTAAATAACATTTCTCTGATTTGGGTAACTGTATGTCCTTGAATATGTGTCTCCCATATGTTTTTATTTTATCTGAAAATTTATCTCCAAAAGAACTTCTTCCATCGTGAACAAATAATGGTACTAGTATATCTGTTTACACTAGATATTGGGCAATCTTGAAATGTGTGTACAAAGATAATAGCTTTGGGAGGTTTTTGCCCCCCAAACTGGAGTATCCTTTGTCTCTGATCATATTTCATTGAATCCTTTTCCCCTTTTCCTCTCTCCTCCTTAAAATTTTGGTTTTGTATCACTGTCCCACAAATACAGTAAATATCTTCTAGATCTAGTGAGAATAATCAATTTTAGCCTAGAACAATCTTGGATATAAAATTAGAGGGACTAACCTTAACAAAAAACCTGAACTTAAATAGCTCTTTTTGGGGGGGGGGGCTTTGGGATAATATATTAAAGTTAAGGACCTATAAAATCCCAATTCTGTTGGAGCAGTTAAGGACGTGTTAGTAGCTTCTAGTTTTGAACAGTTATTTTAAAATGTATATTTAAGGATTTTTCTAAATAATGGGGTTTTTATTTATTTTGAGCCAAGAAAAATAGAATAATTTTTCCCTACCTCCAGCTTATTTTCTGCTTATGTTCCTTTGAATTATTTAATTACTAAATGCACAAATTAACGGATGATTAGTGTTGGAAGGGAAGGTTGAGTTTGAACCAGCTACCTCTGGAACCTCAGGCAAACTCCCTCTGCCTGAGCTACCAGGCAGGAAGCTCAAGGGTTCTGTACAGTCAGCAAGCAGCCTTTTGGCTTGGCAGCCACAGCCTGCAGTGATGCTGCTGCTGGGTGGGATTCCTCCTCCTGCCTGTCAGTTCTACCCTCTTTTCTTCAACTCAGGGCCTCTTCACAGGGCTTCTCTCTAACAAGAGATAATCATGGTATATTGTAGATTCAGAGCTGAAAGGAACCTCAGAGACCAGCTAGAGTGACTCTCTTATTTTATAGATGAGAGAACTGAGGCCTAGAAAGTTCAAATTCCTTGCCCAATCTCATCTAGTCTAACCCCTTCTTATTTTACAACTAGGGAAACTGAGACCAAATAATTATTTTTCCCCATGACTAAACTGGTCACTACTAGTAATAACATTTATATAGGCTCTTAAGGTTTGCAAAGCACTTAGCTTACAGCAGACCTGTGAGGTAGGTTGTACAAGTGCTATTACCTTCAATATATAGGTGAGGAAACTGAGGCACTGAGCAGTAAAGTGATCTGACCACGATCACACAGCTAGTAAGTGTCAGATGTGGGATTTGAATGATTCCAAATCCAGTAATCTGTCACAACAATCTCCTAATGTTTTATATGCATACTTTTTATACATGCCTCTAACTATACATAGGAATTTTCTTATAAGTTTTATTACAAGATTTTGTTAGTGGTAGACATAATTAAGTTTTTAGTTTACCTTAAGAGTTCCAACAGTTTTTCCAAAAACTTCTCGTTGTCTGCTGATTACCTTAGTTTAAAATTTTAAACATTGTGATAAGTTCTTATCTTAAGCGGTCCTTAAGTTACCATCCTTTTCACAACTTAAGGCTCATCATTTTCAGACACATATTTGCATTTATGTATGTAGTAAAGATCATGGTCCTTATGTGACCTTGCTAATAGTAATATGTTTTATTAGAAGGCTATCTATACCCATTCTTTTGTAATTTACAGGGTAATGACAAGTTACCATATGGGGTTCTGATAGAATTTTGTACTTTGCTGACCTCTTGTACATATGTCAGCATTAAATTGGGCATTAAGGCATATTCACAATTTAAGTAGAAATCCTTTTAAAGATAAAAATATAATATCAACTATTCAGAATATTATTTACTTACTGTAATAATCTTTGTAAGTCAGCCTTACCTAGAAAAACACAATGTTTATGATATCTGTTGTCCAAAGTATACTGTATATACATGGCAATATAGCTATATCATGGTTCCTTGAGTATAGCCTAGGGAGGTATGGAGGCTGCTAAAAAAATCTTTATGTTGTTATCACTTCTAAATGACCTCAAGCTTCCCCTCCCTCTGTCCCCACCCCCACCCCAAAACCCTCCTTGTAACAAAAAAGTGTATTTAGGCATGACAAACCAACACCTTGGCCATGTGCCTCATTTCGTACTTAGTATGGTGGAAAGTGATCAGAGAATCTACCTCTTACGCATACTACCTGAGCCACCTTGGGTAAGTCATAATCTCCTGGGACCTCATTTTCCTCATCTGCAAAATGGACTAAATGGCTTCTGTGGCTAGATCTATGACCTATAAGAATCTGCCACTAATTAGAGATTTCTAATGTCTTTCAGGTTTTTCTTTATACTGTTGTGATCATTACCTAGAGATTGTTCTCTTTTTTCTGCTTACTTTGCTCTACCTCAGTTTATACAAGCATTCTTGTTCCTCTGTGGTCTTCATAGCTATGGGGCAAATAATGTTACATTTGCATACCACAATTCATTTAGCTGTTGCTTAATTGATAGGCACCCACTTTGTTTCCATTTTTTTCTTGTTACTGTAGAAAATACATTTTTGTGCACATAAGATCTTTCTGTCTTTGATCTCCTTGTGTTACATGCTCAATAGTGATTTCCTGGGTTTCTGATGGTACATAAGGTTTAGTGCCCTTTCTAGGATAGTTATAGATTGTGTTCCAGAATGGTCAGATTAATTCATAATTCCAACAATAGTGTATTAAGATGTGCCTATTTCCCCAAAGCCCCTCCTACATTTACTGTTTTTGTCTTCTGGTGCCTATTTACATCCTGAAAGAATCTATTAGTTTCATTGTTATTAAATGACTTATATGTCTTCATTTGAAGGTCATCTGTGTGTTAGTATTTCTATTTGGAGTGAAGGTATAGCCGAGAAGTGACACATCTGCCAATTCCACATTTAACACATTGGTCATCTCTGCTATAGTGCTGATAGTGTTCCTATTTTGAAGCCTTTTCTCTTTGCCATGTGGACTTGACAATACCTTTGTCTTTGGTTTCTATATAATTGTGTGATATTTTTCTTTAACCATTGACTGTGCCATATAACTTAAGAATGTGGATGGGTTTCAGTTTGTACTTTTGGAAATACTTCTTACATAGATCATTAAGTTGCAGTATTGTGGGAAATCTGGATATATGGGAGCCAACATACAGTAGAAGGCTGACTTGGAGTTAGGAAATCCTGAGTTCAAATCCTGCCTCTAACACTTACTAGCTGTGTGACCAAGGGCAAGTCATTTAACCTCTCAGTTTCCTCATCTGTAAAATGAAAATAACAATATCTATATTATTACCTTTCAGGGCTGTCGTAAGGCTCAAATGAGTTAATGTGTATGATCTGCTTTGCAAGCCTTAGAAGAAAATATAAAATGTCAGTTATTTTTATTATCAAATACTTCAATAAAATTTTGCTACATCTTAGGTTCTTTTTCTGGTTTTAGAAATTCCTTATTTATTTATTTGATTTCTACGTGTCACATGTACTCATTTAATAGCTAGAAAATACTTTGAGCAAAGTTTCATCTTACTGACTTCTAGGTTCTTAAAATCATATCCATTTGAAGGTCTCCTTCTCTACCCTTATTGGTCACAGTGAGAAAATTTTCAATCGCTATTTAGGGGGTTGGTAAAACAGTGAATCAATTCAGTGAATGTCTTATAAGCACCTACTATGTGCAAGACTGGAGTCTTACCTTCTTGATGGCATAAAGGTGACTTTGGGTTCTTAAAAGTTGTGCCAAAAGTTGTGTCTGTGAGTCAAATTTTACCAAGCTGGAAGACTTCAATTATAGGCATGTTATTTGACAGTATATCTGTTGTCCAAAGACCATCCTAAGTTCAGAGAGGTTCATCACCAGGTTGAACCATATGATGATGAACTTTTCAGCCGCTGCATCCCTTAAAAATCACATCTTAAGAGGTTAGGTTGTAATTTCTGTTGGTGAAGGTAATCTGATGAAATTACAGTAATGAATTACTGAAGTGTTGCTAAACACTGGGAATATAAAGATAAAAAAAAATACAGTTCCTGCTCTGAGGGAGTTTAAGTCTAATAAAAGAGATCAGACATGTATACAAATAACTGTTTTACAAATTGTACAAAGAAGGGAAAAGAAGTTGTCCAGACAAAGCACGATGAGACTTTTGAAAATGGAGAGATATAAAATATGGGGAGAATGTGAAATATGACAGCCAATACATTTTTCATTCCCTTCCTTCTGACACAGGTGCCCCATGTCTTTTACCTTCTGGTAGAATTCAAAACTTGAAAGCTGCTAGTGACTCTTAATTTGTTGGGAGATTTTAGCAGTGGCTACTTCCTCAGAAGCTATCTTTCATTAATTCAGATTTCATCAAAGGTTCGAGGTTAATGGAAATTCTGTGAAACCATGAAGCCCTTTATGACACTCATAATCAGACTTTGATTTTGGTTGACCATCCAGGTACGTCCTAGCCAGGTTGCAGTTTTAGAAATTTATTTACAAGTTTAGCTCACCAAGGTTCACTTTTTTTTTAAATGTGAAGGCATAAACAGAACTTCAGTTTTTTTTCAAGTGACTTGTCTTTGCCCTTCCCTTCCTATACTTCATTCATTTACCAAGAGTCCATTAAAACTGAAAGACAAGGAAAAATGATCTTTGAGTTGGATGAATGAAATAACTGTCATTTAGTCTTTTAATCACAAAGTGAAGAATATCAGATGTTTACATAGCAATGTTTTAAAAATGTTAGCCCTTACCACTTGGTGAGGTAGCTAATACAAGGGTTATTATACTCATTTGATAGATTAAGAAACAGTGAGATTAAAGTGACTTGGCCATAGTCACATGACTGGTAAAGGGCTCTTGATTCCAAGGTCATTGTCATTTCTGTTTCAGCATGCTTCCCTTTACAAAACAGTTATTTGAGGTTTGAATCTTGGACCTACTGTTTACTTGGC